AAAGTATATCATATTCGCTGAATGTGGTTGCAATTTGCTGATTTCACTCATTGATCGGTGATGTTGATCACCATAATCACTTTATGCATTTGATTACAGTTAATCGTAAGAGACGCAGCAGCCACATGCACTGCCCCATTTGAGAGCACATTGATGGAATCTCCTCAACTTGACGTACTGAAACCGGCACAGCATATACCAACCAGAATCGCAACTTGTCAGCAATCGCAATTTATGTTGAACACTCGGTATCGCGATAATCCCGATGATCCTGCAGTCGATACTGGAGGTTCACTGTACATGATTGTTGAAGGTCCCTCCAAAGTGGCGTTGAGTGCCGTTAAAGTGAGTTGCTGCTTGAATCGTTTCACAGTTTACATTGATTCCCTTTCATTGCTGCTAGCAGTGTGAATGTGAAGAGGATGAAACATTGAGCAGAGGCAGAATGAAATGGTCAAAAATGGCATAACATAATTGCAACAACAGTAACACTAATAGTAGTTACAAGAGAAATGATAACAACTATACTATTTACGATGAAATGAATAATCTAATTGTAAGATGGCTAATGGCGAATACGTTGTACGTTACACGGCATTTGTACCAGGCGTTTACTATGCTACCATTAAGCACTCAGGTATTTCGTGTTGGCTTTTTGTCAGTCTTCATTTGAGCGTCATGACGATTGCAAGTTTTCGAAGCAAATGTTCTAGATATGCACATTAGTGGATCACCGTTCAAGATAATTGCGGAGGGAACTGAACCCGCTTTGGTTAGTCGATATGAAAATAATGAGGAACATCGAAAATCGATCGTCGAGGTTGTTAACATCCCTCCTATTTGCTCGTTTCGATCAAAATATGCCATACAAAGAACAATCCGCCTATAACCACTCATCATATAAACTTTTTGAANTCGATTTGATGCATTATTCATTTTTGGAACTCACTCGCCAATGTTGAAATGAAAATTTAGATTGATACAACGTCTTTACAAATGCAATCTTCGGATGATAGCCAAACAAAAACGACTGAATTATTTGAGCTGGAGGGTAATGCTGATAAAGTGACCGTTGATGGTGATGGCCTCAAACAGTTCACCCCGGGACAACCCTCTTCATTCTTCGTCAACACGGCTAACGCTGGTAAGCACTCACTGGAATTCAAACCGGATTTCGTGAGAGTGAAATGATGAGAGCGAATTCGAAATTTTGATTTAAAATTCAGGTATAAGCCCACTGATGATTGGCATACTGAGTAGTGCTGGTGTTGCCAGTGAAGAGGTGAAAGTAATGCACATTGGCGATGGTCGTTATGAGGTAACTTATCTTCTGATGGATGCGGGCAACGCGTTCATTTATATCAAATATGGTTATGCTTATATCCCTGGATCACCCTTCACTGCTGTCTCTTCAGAACCTCTTAAGTGATACGAACTCAAACAGATCGGCGGTAATCGTTGTTGTTTGTAAAAACATATTTGTGTGAATGGTGCTAGTTATTTTCAATGAAAATTGCTGTTTTCATCTCGCTTGTTAATGTAAATTTAATTCTAGTAACAATCGCCTTTGACAGTACCATATAACATAATATTTTAAGCGTCGTGCTCTACTCCATCAATATCTCTGCCTTAAAAGTTGATTGATCTAATTATTGCAATCATCGAATGAAGTCGTATGATCTGTGTGCTAACAAAACAAACAATTGCATTTGCATTCTGTTTATTTATATTTTTATTTATTCATCAAAACGAATTCAATGAATAAATAATTCAGTGCCAAATCCAATTGATAAAACAATTTCATTCGATCACCTCAGCAAACTTCTCAGGAATATTCTATAAACCAACAACAAATGAATCCTTTCTCACTTCATAACCATTATTCAACCAGTGCCATCGTAATTGTTCATGAGCCAATCAAAAAAAAGACAGCTTCAAAATTCAATTACAACCACCACGCTATCTATCAATTTTGCGACTGTACTCCGATGTAAATCTCATTTCGCTTATCATCAATTTCAAATGATAAATTTTGGTTTTCTTCTGCAGTAATTTTAGCGGTCCATCATTTGAATAATTTATAAAAAAGCCATTAGAAAGATCTTTTGAAAAGCTCAAACAATTCTACAATGGCACATTCAGTAAACGATCTTCAACTAGCATAAACAACCAAAAACGGTTATTCGAAACAAATGATGTTACAAGAGTGGTAATGAGCTCTATCCAGGGAATTATCAAACAAAACGCACAAATCGACAGACAAACAATCAGT